TTAAATAACAAAAACAATTGAAAGTCGATATTCAAATGTTTCAAATTTAAAAAAAAAATCACAGAAACCATTTGAAAAAAGTTTCATTCGAAAACCTCAAACCATGAAGATTCTATGAAAATTCAAAGAACCTATTGCAATAAAACGGCAATTTCATACTTTAACCCCTAATATTTGTATTCTTGATTATTGATTAGTCTAGTTTACTTACTACGGCAATAAAAATACATTCATAAAAACTTTTAGGCCCTAACCTAATCTAGTTTTGATACCGATAAAAAAAGTGGACAAATACAACTAAACAAAGTATAACCACACCCCCGACACTCCATACACGATCGAAAATTATTTACCTACTACTACTACTACATACAGCAAATCACGATCTGCACACGCGTAAGTGTGTGCATAAACGGGCAGGGTTACCCATTACTTTCTCGCAAATTACGTTACGTGGTCAGAGCGGTAACATAGCGAAAATTCTAACGCGAACCTGTTATTTAGGATGCTATTAATAGAATCCTAATAATTACACATGTTCATACGGTATTTATATCAATATAATATCATGTTTTTCATTAATTTAGTTAGTAGAATACATTTAAAAAAATTAAATTTACAATCAAAATTTTACATATTGGACAGGTATTTATAAATAAGGTAACCAAGGTATTTGAAATTGCGTGTCCAATTTTATCATTACTTAGTTAATAATTATATTCACTACATATTTATCGGCAATACAAATTGAAAATTCAAGATATTGATATATAATAAATCTATATTACATATTACTGTGCACTAAGTAAATGAAGAAAACTATAACTGAATGAGTCTCAGACATAAGTTTTTTTTATTTACATCGCACACAGCACAAATCACGACCATTATAAATAATAATATAAAAAGATGTTATATATTAACGTACAAGTTTCGTAACGATTAAATGAAAACTAAATTCAAATATCGAAGCCGGGAAAACGGCTCGTCGGCAGCCTTGTTTCCGTTCAGTCAATGTGTCCGTCAATGTGCGAGGCGTGGTACGGTATCTAAAGCTAGGGAGGGGCGGAGAGTGTCCGTTCTCGTTACTTTTTTGTTCTCTGGTGTAACAGTAGAACACAGAAAGATATTATTCGAAAGCCGTTTACAGAGTATTGCACCCTCTGAGCATTTGCGCCGACGTCGGCGCACTCAGTAGTAGGCACTTAACACGCGACCTTGAGCGAGTGGCTGAGCCCTGGTAGTATAGACTCTTAAACTTTTCATAAATGTCGCGAATGGCTACTTATACAGTAGACTTAGAATGGATTGACACTGATAGGGTTAATTATGCTAAGTCTCGATGCCTTAAAATACAATATTTGAAAGCCATATTCCGCCATAATTAATTAAATTAATAAGTATAATTAATATAATCATAAAATTGTTGCTATGGCAGAATAACATAAACTGTTTTGTTTTGCTAATTAGCATCATATTTGAGTTTATTGTAAAATGTATCACAGTTGTCATGACAAAAAAAGAATACTCAATACAAATGTGGAAATGAGAAAATGCGATTTGGAAATTCAAAAAACTACAGAATGAAACCAAAAGATTTGTAATCTTATTTATAAGTAGATAACTAAATATTATGAATAAATAAAAATAATCACATTATTCACAATAAATTTTTTTCAGTATATTTTTTAACTTTCAAATCGTGTTTCCTTGATTCCACCAACTTTTGAGTTGCGACAGTATTTGGTTCCAAGTGCGACAAATTTGTAATTTTTTAATTCACATTCACTTATTTCCTGATTACACAAGTTCAAAATCAAAGCCGTAAATAAATAAAGATGGTATTAGACTTTTTTAACACACTCATAGCCCCGCACTAACAAAGTCCCTGTATCGCGGGTGTCAATGACAAACACATAGACCACAAATTACACTCAAAGTCACGAAAGAAATGAATGTAGGCCATAAAAATATTTCTCCTGGCCCGGGAATCGAACTCAGTTGGGCCACGGAGTAGGCAGTAAAAAAAACAGAAGAGTCTTCGTACATTTTGTTGTTGAAATTCGTGGAATAATTTCTACACTATAGTAATGATGCGGAACTCAATAAAATAAATTTTGTTCTTTGTTTAGATTTAAAAAATCAATTTCATATAAATTTTAAACGAAATCTCCAATGTTGTAGAATTTTGACAAATTGTACATCTTTATTGTAGCCACCAAGTAAAAACAACCCAAAAACTAGCGCGTGTGTCGTGTCTATTTATTTTGTCAACCTACCTTGAGAACTATGGTTACTAAGACGCTGTAAAGAATTGAAAAAATGAAAGTGTCCAATAAATGTGATAGGCGTATTATGTTTGAGGAGACACCGTAAACTCTTATGAGACTCTGAAACAGTAAAAAAAGTATTTACAATTTTTCAGCAGGCAATGATATTCAGCGTAGAACCTGAAATATTTGTAGACTTCGAGTCTCGCCCGCCCCGTAGCGTAGTCGGGTCGTTTTCAGATAACCCCCAAAAATAATTAATATAATTATTAATAAAAATGTTTGATTATTATATAAATTATTTAAATTCATTTTCGAAATAATTATTTGTTTCTAGATTAATAAATGAATTTAATCAATTTAAATAATTTTTATGTTACTACATGAAAGTTAAGCATTATTTATTTAATATGATTGCTTGCTTACTTAATCTGTGTTACACATAAAAAGACTAGTTTACTACGTCACAGTAATAAATAAAAATTAAAAAAGTGGGCAATTTCTCATTCATGGGAGCCGGTTCCACGTCGTCCTAATTTTAAGAAAAGAAAAAATAATTAAAACTCGTGGAAATCGCAATATTTTCCATTGAGGATAAACTCTAATAACTTCGAATACATACCGTAACTTTCCAATTTATTATAACCAAAACATGTTTTCTTGGGAATACAAAATATGACTCAATTTTTTAACCGACTTCAAAAAGGAGGAGGTTCTCAATTCGATTGGTTTTTTGTATGTATGTTACGCGATAACTCCGGTATTTGTGTACCGATTTTCATGATTCTTTTTTTGTTGGAAAGAGTGTCTTCCATAGTGGTCCCATTTAATTTTTAAGAAAATCATCCACCTCTAAGAGTGGCTGTTCACGTATGAAGATTCATTTTTATAAATAGCGCCTAAATTTTATCATAAGGAGCAATTATTTTAATAGTTGATTTTGCTATTCTCCAATTCAAGGCGTTTTTATCTCTCAATATACTTTCGAGTAGTGAGAACCGATTTTTATTATTTCTTGTGTCAAGTCCCGTATAGTGGCGAACTAGGGGATGAATCCGGGTGTGTGCACTTTCCGGTAACCGATTTCAATAAAACTTGGTAATTATATGTAATTCCACGTACATTTGAGGTCGGTTTTTTTAGTACTCTGTACTGAGATTATCTTATATTAGTGTCAATTCAACTAAAAGCCTCCTAATAACAAAAGTTCATACCGCCTCACCTTCACCCTTCGCACACGTGAGAAGGGGCTCCTGTCGGATTCGAGTGTACACAGTGAAGTAACCTGTGCATCTCCGTTTTAGCAAAAAATCGACTTAAATACCAATTTCAGCGGTAGTGACTAAATCATTCTCATTCATGTAAAGCAATCTATCTAAATAAGTATTAAGTAATAGTTATTCTAAACTTTATTCTACATCCATTAGACAAAGGGAACTTTAAAATCCATGCAATTTTATAACGGTCTATCATATTCTATACACTTGACAATTAAAAATATATCCAAATATCATTATTGTCGCTCTCATTCTTGTCTACTTTTAAGTGAAATAGTTACTTTAAGCCATTGACTTACAATTATATGGACGTCGGGTCCGCGCTAAAAAGTGTCCGCACTTTTAAGGCGCTAAAATCGTATACAGAGCGCGACACTCCGCTTTAGTCTTCATTTGTTCTACTGACAGCGCGATACTGCGATGACATTACAATTTAAATTTCGAATAGGTTGACTTGGGACATTTTTTTCGTGGTTTTTGTATTAGACCCGTCGTCCATTTATTTGTAAGTCAATGCTTTAAGCCAAACATTTACTTGAAATATAACAATTAGATGGTGATAGTGGTGGTGATGACGGTGGTGACGATGATAATGGTGATCATGATGATGATGTTGATGGTGGTGATGATGATATAGTGATGTTCAACAAAGTTTATATGACATTAACAAAATACTTATTTAGATTTATTTGTTAATTACATATAAATAGATAGATGGTCTTACACGGATGAGAAGGATTTTGATACAAAAAGTTATATTCAAATATTTGGTACATGTTAAATGTTGTTAAATGTTCTTTTGTGAACGATAAAATGTGTGTTGTAATAATAATTTCTCATTACTATGCCGTCTATCTCATTTATGTTTATGAGAAAATCATTCGTGTTACTGCAATCTCATTCGTATGACCTAAAATATCGTTTTTTGTTGTATTTAACTTAAATATTTCTGTGATTATATAATTATTGACATTGCTTGAACTTATTTGTACGTTTAATACCTTAAAACCAAAAGAAAAAGGGTTTTAAAAAATCACTCAAAAAGTGCCATTGAAATTCGGAAAGTGAAATTCACCCAGTCACACACAGCTATTACAAAACCAAAAACTGCATTCATTCTTTAGGGTTGCTGTTTGCCTATTTTATTACATTAATCTGATATTTTTCTCCATCCATGGAAATAACACTTTCAGGGCTTTCGAATTAAACGCTTGTAGAAGCTTTGCAGTAGCGTGGCAGTCGGGACAGTCGCGGGTCTACAACACTTCAATAATTTTCAACCAACTTCAAAAAAGGAGGAGGTTCTGCATTAGACTGTATTTTTTGTATAGTTACGCAATATGATTCTTTTAAGTTTGAAAGAGGGCACCTCAATATTGGTCCCATTTAAATTTGAATAAAATATTCCACCTTTAAGGGTGGCAAACTAGAGAATGAATTCGGTTTCGCGTGGCAAATACGTTCCACGAACTTTGGTTAAGGGGTGGTATAGGAGGTGGGTCAGTGGTTGGGACAGCGGGTGTGTCAGTGGTTGGGACAGGGGGTGAGTCAGGAGGTGGTTCAGGGGGTGGGTTAGGGTGGTTAGAGATGAGTTAGGGGTGGGTTAGGTTAGTTAGTTTAGTTTGGGTGCGGTTGGGGGGCCGGTTGGGGGCCGGTTGGGGTGCCGGTTTGGGGGCGGGGGGGGGGTGGTTGGGGGGCGGGTTGGGGGGCGGTCAGGGGTTTGTGACACACGCCCTAACCCATATTCGTAATGACACTTTTATTCGGTACTTTCGGTTTTAATTGTTAGTTTCAATTGTTTCTTAGAACACCTAAAAAAATTAATTGCAATTAATTTAATTGCAATTAAAATCAATTCAATTGAAATCAATTGCAATTAAAATCAATTACAATTAAATCAATTGCGACGCGTCGCAATTGATTTAGTTGCAATTGATATCGATTGAATTGATTTTTTAATCTGATTCAATTTCTGATTGAAATTTAATTGACTAACGCCCAACACTGACAATTAGTAGTGCGCGGCTGCAGCGAAACAGTGGTGCCATTGTAGCGTCTCTTTAGGCTTTAGTTTGAAAGCACCCTTACTGTCATTCTTTGACATATCCACAAATATTTCAATTAGGTTTGTCAACTTTTCTTCTAATTTCATTGCTCAAGGATGAAAAACGTAAACATCATAAAACTATTATTGGATTTTGAATTTAACTGACGTTTGCGGTTACTAGTTTTTTATGAAATAATAATAGTGTTGTCTCACAGGACCTTCTTCAGTGACTCACTCATTCGGTCATCAATAATATAGTTTGGAGGCATTTAAATTAAAAAAAAAATCTGCGTAATGTTAAACCTTTCACGTTTCTTTTAAGCTCTATAAGTTTCAGTAAGTTCATTAAAAAACCAAAACATCAGTGCGGAATAATCATGGCAACATTATTTTTCAAATAAACAACAGTCAGTCTGTTTTATCATCTATGCTATCAAAAATCTGTCTATAAACAATCATGTGGCGTCACTGAAAGAACTCCATTACAAGTACAAACTAAGTTTTGCGAAAGTTTTCACCAAGTTTGTAATTAGCGTCGTTCAGACAAATACGAACCAAACTTAATTTAAGTTGTGTGTATCTAGGTCAATCAACTTTTTTTCCAAAACTGTGATGGATGAATTATAGAAAATAAAAAAAAGTACGTTGGATGATCGTAATATGAATTAAACGTTTAATACTTGTTAGGCTTAAGAATGCAAATTATATATGAATTCTTTCATTCATTTTCAGCCCTGTATTATCCACTGCTGGTTATAGGCCTACTTTCGCTTCTACCAAACTTTCCGCTCCTATGTTGTCCTAGTTAAGATGTCGTCATGTAACTTAGTAGTTAGTTAGTAGCGCGTTAGACGAACTTTTACCTTGCATTTAAAATTAGTGCATCGACTAGTCGCCTTGCGAGCATCAACACATCAATTCAGACGGATTTTAACGGGCCCACATTTTTCATCGTGAGTATCTTTAACGGGCCCACATTTTGCAGCGTGAGTATCTTTAACGGGCCCACATTTTGCATCGTGAGTATCTGATTTATGCTTTTTCGTTTGGAATACTGTTTTTTAACACCTAAACGCAATAATACATTAAATATTTAATGTGATTAAGTCAAAAGAAGTGCTCATAATCAAAATCGGAAGACGAATCCGTTGACGATGTATCTCTAAATACGCACCGATGGAATTTTACACCAGACTACACGGTGAGACTTATTATGATGAAAAGTACTATTAGAATGGGTACATTTTAAGGCTGTTTGTTGATTTTGCATGTAAGAAATGTCTTAAGATTTTATTCACCAAATAAATAATAATTATAACAAAATTATTCTTGTTGTATTTTACTCAAATATGTATTAAAGGCCCATCTAAATACAATCGTGTTCGTACACAATTGTGCGCCTGTTATAAAGGGCCAAAATTTTTTAAGATGGCGGCCGGAAAATTGAAAATTGACCTCAGTTTCTTACAAGTTTTCTTTTCGGAGATATTCCAAGTAGTTTCGGAGCCGGTCCGAAAGGGATAATTATATACAATACATTTTCTTGCTTTTCTCGTCAATTATGTCCTATGCCAATACTTGTCTAATCGTCTTAACTTGATTTGAAAAATAATTTTATTTCTACATACATAGGTACATAAAGCTCAGGCCCTTGTCCCCCAGGAGAGGTAGGAGAGATTACGGAACGCCACCTTACTCTGTCCTGACGCAACTTTCTAGCCTCGCATACATCAACTACCCTTTCCTTGTGAATATTGGTAATATAAATAATAATAAAAAATTACGACAGTCGTAACTCATTCAAATTTAAATAATTAATATTTATTTCATAGGTAAGCACTTCAACCATACTACTCATTGTACTAGACTTTAATCAGTGTGATAATTCTTCTTGCGGCAGAAAAATGTTGTAAGTACTCGGTGGAAATAATATTTTAAATTTATTTTAGGACTCAAGTCCAATTCACAAGACTCGACGCATAAAGACAGACACTCCACTGCTCGATGTATTACGAGCCTATCGAGTTTCCGAATAGACTCAAGTTCGACTATATTGCTCGAGTCTATTTATGTACTCCAAGTTCAAGTCTGTTTACGTAACGAGCCGAGCTCGAGTCTGGTAACTGAGCGGTATTGTGGTGTGGTGTGTTAAACTGTATCTTATTAATTACTGTAGTAAATATTCGATACGGTGTCCGCGTTGCCATGCATCAAACCGTCATGGCAAAATGCGCTCTATTCATTAACTTTTACGTTTTAACTTAGCGTCCCGGCCACGCGGGCGAGGCTAGCTTGAATTTGGTCTACGCGGCCCCCCGCGCGGCGATCGCGCAGGTACATTATACAGACGAATTTAAATGTTGTTGCCTAGTAAATAGAATTCAGATTCGCCATTAATGTAGGCATGGTAACCGGGCGATAGTCGCGCGGCGGCCTCTTGAAAACTTTCTCCTCGTGTAACTGTGACGCTTATGCTTCGTATTATTAGTATTGGATAATCCACAACATTGGGGTGGAACCTGAGTATTTTAGGCCACCGTGTCGCGCAAAATTGAGTCGAGTTTATAAAAATAGAGTTTTTTACAACACTGAATTTAACTGAGTCGGTCTGAACGATGAAGAAAATCGTGTATCGTGATGTAAACTATGAAAGCGAAAGTTTTGAAAGAACTATCATGACCACAACCCGCATTGGGTCAGCATGCAGGACAACGATCTAAATATTTCCATTTTAAGCCCCGAAACAGGACGTTTATGATGCCACTTATCATAACTAACGTAATCGACATTTGAGCGAAATTGAGTTATTAACTTATCAGCGAAACGAGATTTAGAATCTTGTCAGCGGTACAACAAACCAAGCCAACACAGGACGGGAGACGCGGTGCGCCCAGCGAGAAAACGAGCTGAAGCCAGATATTCTATTATATCTGCTGTACAAAACATAGGTCCGGTCTTGCGTTGAGTATTGTTCGCACTTGTGGGACGGCTCCGCCAAGTACCTACTCGATGCCTTGGATAAATTACAGCGTCGTGCTACTCGAATTATAGGCGTCGAAGAGGTCTCATCACGCCTTGAACCTCTGCAACTGCGTAGAGATGTTGCATCGCTTAGCGCCTTTTACCGCATGTACCATGGTGAGTGCTCTGAAGAGCTGTTCAACCTCATCCCTCCTTCCCCGTTCTTGCTCTGAAGCACGCGTGCTGGCCTTCGTAGTCACCGTTTCACTACCTGCCGCATTCCATCGCGTACTAAAAGGTTCGGTGGCTCCTTTCTCTGCCGCACGGTTGACAAATGGAACTCCCTTCCGGCACATGTCTTCCCTCCCTCTTATGATATGGGGTCCTTCAAACGAGGCGTGAAGAGGCATATTGTAGGCAAGCAGGGTGGAGGTGGCTAGTGCAGTGAGGGTGTCATCGCTGCACTAGGTTCCTTCGCGTTTGGATACCACTTTCCACTTAACATCAGGTGGAGTGGAGTCATTTGCCTGTCATGTATAAAAAAAAATCAAGTTCTATCGACTATGACCTAGACCGCCGAACAGTAAGCCATAACACAAGAATGGGTAATGTATAACGTGACCATGCGTCCTGCTTTGAGCGGGATAGTCCCGCTTTTAAGCTTCGTATCCCGCTGTCCCTAAAATACTTAAAAATGTCCCGCTTTGACTAAACAGGACACAAGTGACTATAAATTGAAAAGAATGACGCGAAAGCGTAGCAGCAAGTAAGCCATGTCGCCCAAACCTTTTACACAGTTGTGTTTTTGCGAAACCTGCCGAATTAACGCAAATTGCTCGTCTGAAAAATACATAAATCCAATAAAGCCAGCCCACAGGACTACACAAGGTCCCACCCCTATGTTGTGGATATTCCAAAGATTCTTATGAAGTGTTACGCTTCCACATTTATATGGCGAACTATGGAGTGGAATTCCCCGCCTGCTGACTTGTTCCCTGAACGTTATAACTTAGACCTTTTCAAGGCGAGAGTGAATAGGCATTATTTATGTGTGCATGCTCCATTGTCGACTTCTCGTCACTTTCCATCAGGTGGGATGGAGGTCAAATGCGAACTTACATTACAAAACAAAAATTTGTTCTTATTTGAATTTTCGATAATCAAATGTTTAAAATTTTTATTTTCCTCCTTATTACATTGTGTAACTATCATAAACATGGGTTTTATTTTTAAAACAATAATAAATTCACACGCGACCCGTCTTCATGGTAAAAATGATGGTCACTTTAGTAATGTAACAAACGATTTTGTAAATGATATCTAGACATCATAAAGTAATGTAAGAAAACCGTACAAGACTGGTTAAAAACAAAAACTCCCATGACATTGAACATTTCATACCTCTTGTTAACTACATAATACGTACCTAATATTCCTATATGCTCTAAGTTAATATTAATAATAGTTGAGATGCTAGCTAATGTAATTATGTATTCATGTTTCATTATAATTTCTTTTTAACCGACTTCAAAAAAAGAGGAGGTTCTCAATTCGTCTGTTTTTTTTTGTATGCATGTTACGCGATAACTCCGCCATTTGTAAACCAATTTTGATGATTCTCTTTTTGTTGGAAAGAAGGTACCTCAGATGTGGTCCCATTTAAATTTCAAGAGAATATTCCACCTCTAAGTGTAACAAACTAGGGGATGAACAACCTTTGAGGTCAGTTTTTTAAACCGGAGGTTAGGTTATTATTGAACAAAGTACATATCGAGTTCTTAGGTTTTCGCGATTGTTACACATAGGAAATGAAACTATTTTTCCGTATTTAAATCGCGTATATTTGTTTTTTCAAACAAACCGACGTTTCGGGCCCTTTACAGGTCTTATGGTCACGGTTGACTGAGGTGGTACAGTCTTCAACCAGTTATGTCTAATATTGATGCAAACCACCCTATTTTTTCACTATAGTTACAATAGTTATTAATTAAATACCTTATTTTTAATTTTACAAAGAAAACATTCCAATTTACGCTATATTAAGTTTTACAAATTATTTTATTGAATGATTTTTTATTAAGTTCAATTTATTATATATTATTAATAGAAATTAGAATAAACTAAAACATATTAATTAGTACTGCAGTCTTATGTCTGTTTGGGATTTTTCATTAGAGGAAATACTGGATCCCAAACTGGTGGTACGGAGAAACCATCTTCCCTGTTGAAATTAGGATGTTTTTTAATTTCAATGGCCTCTCGCAGCATCCTGGGTAGATAACGGACTTCTTTTGCAAGGACCTGGGGTTTGTCAAACTTTATTGAATGTGTAGGTTTATCCATGACATGCTCGCAGACTGCAGACTTGTTTGCGCGACGGTAAAATACATATGTTGTCTAACATTAAGCTATAATCACGGATTTGGATACCTAAGTTATAATGTAAACAATTTTACTTAGTTTAGGGTATCACCTTTAACATACAGCCATTCCACTGTTTGCAATAGTCTGCGCAAATAAAAGGTTATTTTAGTACATTGTGTATTAAGAACGGTTTGTAAATAAGAAATTACTGACGAGGGTCTATTAAAAGTCTCTCTTAACTCGAGTTTTATATGTTTTGACTGACCGTGAGACATAAAATGTTTTTCATCACATTTGCGAGGAAATAAATACAATATAAATTTGGTTCACAACGCAACAATTATGGATTTGGCCAATGGCAGGTTTTTGTTTTTTTTTCTAATTCTTCCAAAGGTTACAACGTGACCTAAAATGTGTTGAAAAGCAAATACGAGTGCCTACAGCCACTGGATAGAAAAAAGAATTGCAAAATTTTTATACCGAAAATCATTGACTTACAATTATATGGACGTCGGGTCCGCGCTAAAAAGTGTCCGCACTTGTAAGGCGCTAAAATAGTATACAGAGCGCGACACTCCGCTTTAGTCTTCATTTGTCCTACTGACAGCGCGATACTGCGATGACATTACAATTTAAATTTCGAATAGGTTGACTTGGGACATTTTTTTCGTGGTTTTTGTATTAGACCCGTCGTCCATTTATTTGTAAGTCAATGCCGAAAATAATAAGAAATTCTTAATAATAAGTATTTAAGTACGTAAGACTGAATCGCAATCTAATTTCCGTTGAGATAATATTTTAAGCGAATGTTTGAATTTTGAACGTAAGTAACCACCTTGCTTGAACTTGAACCTGACCTATGTAAGGAAGTACGTCGTGCGACAAATTAAAAAAAAAATCCTTACCGACAATGGCTGTAATGAAAAGAAAAAAGGCTCGTGGGTTTTATTTGGAGTATTATAGTCAAGTTAGCCACCACCGTCGAAGGGGAATAAATTTATCTTTATCTCTTAACAATTCCCTCAAATCGGTTTTTTATATCTTATTTAATTTCAGTTTTATTGTTGCAAAAAAAATCTTTAGATGCCAATATCTCGAAATTTTTTGAGATGAAAATGCGTTAGTTATAACAAGGAGGGCAATGTGAGTTAATACAGTAAAGAATTAACTTTCAATTGACTCACCTTTATGCCTGAACGTGTCTCATGCATGAATCGAGAGGCCGAGTACAAAAAGTAAGGTAACGCGGCCATAATGGAACACATTACGAGAAAGGACTGTACTATTCGCTTTTCTTTCGTTATGAAAGCCGGTCGCTGTTCAACCATATGTACCTTCTGGAGAATAATAATAGATTCATAAAAATAAGTAAGTATGTAAGCTCAGGCAAGCTAACCCAACACAAGCATAAATTTGCTTAATGGGAAAAACTCATCTACGATATTGTATCGAATTTAAGAAATAAATACATTATTATTATACAAACGTAGCACCGCGGCTTGTATGTGTGCACGCTCGCCGCGCGTCATGTATATACGGACGCACACATTCATGAAATTTCGTGGTGCACTCGCGTTGCATAACGCGGATTGTCACACGCGCATTCAATGTAGAATTGAAGCGTTCGCAGTGTATTAGGAATAAAATAACAGTAGACTTGTTTATTTGTGTCTTTATGGTTGTTTGAACAAGAGCGCCTCAAATTATAATAATATACTGCATTTAACAAGGGTTATTTCAATATAGTATGAGAATACTGTGATGAACTCCTTTTTTTTTTCAAATTGTGTTTCCAATCCGAAGGTACAACTAAAATTATAATTTGACAACCCTACACTTTGAGCGAAGTGTACGTATTGATGCAAAAGTGGCATAGGACGCCTTTTAGCCAGTCCCATTACTTTTCTACATAAGTTTTGTTTATTGCGACCCCTCCCTATCAACCTCTTTACTTATACGGGTACACGTACAGCACCCTCCCTATTTTCCAGATAGGTAGGAGCTGTAGGCAAACTCGCTTCCCGTTGCGCATTGTACAACTAACGGTTGCCACCGCAAAGCCGTTGACTCTAAAGTCGACTACCAAATCACCTCTTTGGTGGCGGGGCTGACGCCGAAGCGTCTCTCCAGTTCCCAGAAACTTAGGCTACTATAGCTGCTGGTGGGACTGGAGGATATATAGTTCATCTTCTACCAGCTAGGCTAGTGCCGGAGATGCCGCTCGCAGTGTCCTGCGACTTAGTCCGGACATGGCTTCTGACTTAAAGGGCAACTCACATGCCCCGCGCGCGTAAGAATAAGACGCGCTAGCTGCGCGCGACGAACATGTTCATCGCTACAGCCAACTACAAACCCCAGCGAGTTCCTATTTCTCGGGTCGGTAGATCGAAACTAGGGAATGGTTGAGAATGGTAAGAAAGAAAACATTTTGATGAAACCTGCACGTTGAAGAATATTCACAACCCTTGAAGAAAGTCCCCAACCAACCATATTCCGCCCAATGCCAGAGCGTAGCGGAATATGGCATAAACCCTGTCCTTAGAGGAGACCAGCATCGGTGGTACGTGTAATGGATTATCGATGATGAGGGAATTTGGAAGTCCTAATAAGGTTCCACAGATAATCAAACCAAACAAGTACCTAATGTATAATAGTGACTTAAATATATTAAAATAAATACTTTACATGATCAACAGGTTCCCCAGACAGATGTTCCAAGTACATTTTGTCTATGGCCCATTGCAAGTTGCTGTAGAGTGTTATGTTAGGAACTGAAAAAATACAAAGGTATTTAAGTAACAAATTTGAATAACCAGTTGATGCTGAACTCTCAACGCCGTTTGTTAAGGTATTTCTAATTTGTTCTTGGTGATTCTGCCCCGTGTATGTCAACACTTATTATATTAACGTAACTTAAAATTTTGACGGAAATAATAATAATGTCGACGCTTGAAAGGCAAAATGGGATAAGCGACACTTTTGGGTCATATTGAGTTATATACCGTTGTAATCAGAAACAGCTGATTTCAGCGGTATCATAACTCAATATGATCAAGTGTCGCTAATCCCATTTTGCTATTCAAGCGTCGATATGTAAATATATCTTGTCCTTATTTTCCTTCCTACAACGGCGTTAACCCAAAGGCACCCAAAGGCGTTATCCCAAAGCATCTTCTCATAGCTTCAAGTTATTAATCCTAAAGAAAGCCTCTACAACTCTCACGGTTTGTAGAAAGGCTAGAGAAGCACTCTCTCCTAAATTTCTTAAACTCAAAAGGCAAGAGCTATGCACTATGACTGTCGCTCTAAGGGATCATGGCCATATAATAAACACCTTTTCAATTAAGGTATCACGGACAGCCCTCTATGCAGAGCCTGCATGGAAACGGCCGCACACATCCTCCTACAATGCTCTGACGTAGCCAACTTTACTGCAGAGCGAAGTACCTTGGAGTGACAAGGTCGCTTCCTGAGGTTTTCAATAAACCTAGGAGGGTGCTAAGATTCTTTTAGGAATTTGGCTCGCGCTAGTAGGCCCCTACATGCACCACACGCAAAGTAGGTGTCTGGACATTGACTTGCGGACACTATACCATACCAATGCTCTAAAAAAGCTGTAATTTTAAATACATGCCGAATTGTCGAAAAGTTCATTCAAGTTCATGTAGAAGACGAAATAAGGTCTCATCACAACACACCCTCAACGTGGATAGATACACAATATACTGCATTTACCCGATTTCGGCTTGACCAACCAACGAACAGAGAAACGAAAAATAAATTATAATAACAATCAGTCTTGATCCGAGACGGGCAGTGGGTTAAAACCCAATCGACTTGCCCGAGTTTTAACCCATTTGTGTCCACAATCGTGGGCAGAAACGGCGAATAAGTAATTTCTGACAATTCCTTACTTATTAGAAATTTCGACATGAAAATCTTTTTTAGAGAAGAGAGGCAACTCTACACAATACTCACCTTGCAATCGTGTGGACTCTCACTTAGACTCGATTTCTATGAAAATCGATTCGTTATACATATACGATAACGAGTTTTTTTATCGATTCTTTTCAATGCAATTCTCAAGCGAATCGATACAATAGGAAATCAAAATATGTGAGGAAGCAATAACATTTTGTAATAATATCATTATACATATTTGAACAAAACTCGATTTACAAATATTTAACTGTCAATAGTTTTTGTCTCGATTTCGGGCGGTAATGGGTTTTAACCCCATTAAAACCCTTCGTTAACAAAGCGCCGAGTTAAAACCCGAGCTCTAGCCCATCTAGTCTTGGTCATGTCTTGACGGATTCCAAGAAGTAAAAGGCCTGATATATGAATTGTCACGCGTAGAGTAATGAAACTAAGTAACGACCGGTCCGCATGAATTTATTGTAGAAATAAAGGCAGAGAAGGTACACGAAGAGACCAAGCTGTAACGAAATATAATGATATGAAAAACAGGTACAATGATATAAAACACTTCCTTACAACGGTCCTTAACATTTAACGTAAGTGAACTTACCCCAAAACGGCCTGTATTCATACAAATACTGAAGTTTTATAAGTAGTCAGGTTACATGATTTTCAATGCTATAATAACTGGTAAGAATTTCATATAAAGGCAAGCACGTGTGCTCGCTTCTGAAATTTATTATAGAGTGGCGTCGGAAAGAAGAAAAATAAGAGTGAAGAAAAGGAATTAGAGAACGATTCAAAATTTCAAAAGTAAGTGGCCAAAGATCAGAGAAAAGGGTGATAAAAGTTGGGATGACGATGAAAGAGGTCGCATCGTCACATACTTAAGAAAAGAATTAAGGGCGCTACGTGACTGCAGATATCGATGTACCCCACCCCGAAGAACAGCTGAAAAAATATGAACAGCTATCCGAGAAGATCCGGCAGGTCCGACGGTCCACTAACCTATCACAAAGTCGGCAATTTTTTTGTGCTAAATAACGTTTCTTCGAATTTTAATTACGCCGAAAACCGAATAATAAGGAAACAGTTTTTCTTCCAGGATATGTTGAATGTTTATCGCAAAAACACGATTAGGTCCGGTTAGGTTAGGTTAAGTTGCTCCCTGTACTGGCCGATTGGAGAAAGAGGAGGCACGGGTCCCTTACCTACCATCTTGTTCAGGTACTCACCGGACACGGCTGTTTCGGTGACTACCTGCACAAGATCGCACGGAGGGAGGTGACCCCGGAGTGTCACGAGTGCGGCGCTGCTACAGACTCGGCGAGGCATACCTTGGAGTTGTGCCCGACCTGGAGCCAGCAGCGCCGGGATCTCGTAGAGGTGGTGGGACGAGACCTCTCACTGCCCAGCATAATTAGAGCCATGCTGGGAAGCGAGAGGTCATGGCAGGCGATGGCCTCCTTCTGCGAGGACGTGATGTCGCAGAAGGAGACAGCCGAACGGGTCCGCGAAGACAGCGCCCTCTCGGACCTCATTCGGCGTCGGCGGAGAGGACGCACGCGACGGCTCTTCGCCGACCGCCTGCGTCCCATCAGCGGAGGCCAGCAGGGTGCGGGGTTGGGAGACCCTGCCCCTGCATTGCACAGGCCTCCGCCGCCGGTATATGCCCCAAATGTTCCGGGGCATCTCCGTGCAGGTAGCCCCCATGATTAAGGGGGCGATGGTGGAGGGGTCCGCCCAAAGGCGGACCAGCACCACCGGAGTTGCGGTAGCATCTGAAAGGGACATCGTGAGGTTTTTAGTGGGTATGCTCTTGGGGATCGAAATAGTCCCCAGGAGAGACTCCCACATATCCCCGCCGTCTCCCAGCGGCGGAGAATGCGTAACGCATTTTCCTCACGGTAAAAAAAAAATAAAAAGGTTAGGTTAAGTTAGGTTTAAAAGAAAAAACATTTTCCTCTCAAAATTACTTTCGAGGTTATGAAATTTCGACCAAACGTTGTTTCTGGAAAATGTCATTTCGAACTACTGATAGGTAACCCTGTCGCAGAGCTTAACTACTCTGGACCTTCTAGCAACCTTTAGATTTGGATACAAAATTTTTGCATTCAAATGTCAATCAATTTGGAAAATGTAGACAAACATAAAAAATCCTTACCTATTGTCGGCTCGTCGTTATATAAATCTTTAAAATAAAATATTTGGTTTTCTTTCTTGCCAGCGTACATGATCGTATACTTCAGATTCGCTGGTATTTTTTTGAACACGTCCTAAAAAACCATTACGTTAAAATATATTGTACCCTTAATAACACATTTTGGTATCATATTGCTTTTCTCATAAAATAAAAATATAAAAATAATCTTTATTTTCTGAGATTTTTTAATGAATAACTTCCTAGTCTTAGAATAATAACGCATAGAATGATAGTTTCATATCAAACGAACTGTCACAAGTGAGGCAAAAATCAAATTCATGTAGGCTAGTTTTAATAGTAGGTTAATTTTCGGTTTTAGTGAATATTTATATAAAAATACAAGTTGAAACGCGTTACTTCATTGTGGAATATGATGTTAGTATCTATTTTATGTTTGTCTGACGTATGTTTACACTCATTTACCGCACATTTCGTCATTTTTAGCTAAAATTCTTGATCTGTTCGCGGTGCAAGTTGACCTTGAACACTGAAGGCCCGCCCGCTCGTGTAGGCCCATTGGGCGCGCTTCAATTTGCCTCAATTAGCGTGGGCGGACTAGGTTTCTATGCGTTATTATTCTAAGTTCCTAGTTTTGTTATGATTATGAATAAAAAGTCGAACACATAGAATAATTTCGTCGACCCGGTGGGACTTGAACCCGAGAGAAGTTCATTCAAAAATGTCTCACTAGATGTCACTAGCGGGAAGAATGCCGAATATCAGTACAAAGATCTATAACAAAAAACACATAGGAGAATTTCGACG